ACAAATTCATTGCCTAACAAACCTGCGGGTATGGCACCGGCACGTGATGCACCAATATATCTACTGAGACACCAAATTGAACAAGCAAATGATATGAATGAGAAACAAAAGTAATTATATTTAATTTTTTAAAACAAAACTTTATTTTAAGTTTTCTATTAATTTCATAGATATGTCACAGAATTGGAGGGTTTGTTAAGCCGTCGGAAACTAATGGATAAACAGATCGAGGAATACGTGAATGAATTGCCGGAAATTGACGCCAATATCACATTAAATGGCAAACTAGAGCTCAATAATAGGGAATGCTATCGGAAACTGGTCGACACTTTCAATGATAAGTGTTATGTTTTAGGACAGGTAGGTCATTAATTAAATAAGCTTAAATTAAACTTTTTATACTGTATTTAATTTTCAAGAATACATACGCTTTGAATAAATTGAAAGTATTTGTGAATATTTGCGAACAAATGCGTAACTCAAGTGATGCGGACATTGCTGTCAACCGATTGATACAACACTGCAATAGAAATGCGAAACCAATTGAAAGGATTATTTAAAAATACAATAAAAAATAAACATTTTCTTAAATCTAAATTATAAAAGTTTTGAAATAATTAAATAATTAATATTTAAACTGTATTTTAAAATAATATTATTTATTAATACAATAAATTACAATATATATTGGCTAACATAAAATATATTTTCATGTTTTAATAATGATATTCTGTATACGAATAAAGCATTTGTAAATTATTAAGTTTATAAATATTTAATTAAATTTATATTAATAAAATAAATTTAATACGCTTGGTCATTATTATAATAGCATCTATTACAATTACAACGTTTAATATCGCACAGAGTCTTAAATTTTAATTCCCTGTCCTCCAGCATACGACTGGCCATATTATAAGGTAGACCATGATAGCCCTTATTAGTATAACACTCCAGGGTATTTAATTTTAATAATCTAGGCTTAAAATCTGGTATAAAATAAATCCAAACTGTAATAACATCGCCGGTATCTAAAACTACCGGTGCCTCCATCCGCATATGCCATACGGGTTGTGAACACAACTCATCCAATCTGTCCTTCATTTTGTTGTCAACCCTATAGATGTCGCCAATGACTCGCTGTTTGAAAAATAAAATTTTATTACAGTTTTAATATAAACAATGAAATATACACACCTTTCCGGAATGCCTACGATATAAAAGGATCGGTATGTTATGCTCGGAGACTATCACTAGTGGCCACTCGTCCACAGTCTGTGCCCTCCCGTAAAACTCGGAGTTCCCGTAATAACCGGTTTTGTCGGCGACATAACGGTTGTTAGGCTCACCTGTAAATTGTGTCCGGCGTAAAAGGTTCAGGGTATTTATTTTTTTATAGATTATAAATATTAATAAGGTAATCATTTATAACAATACCTCGTTTAATAGTCCCATAGAAAAACACGTAATGTATGTCCATTTTAAGTTATTATTTTGCGTATTATTTTAATAATTAATTTATTGTTATTGTTATTAATAATAACTTATTATTAATGTTACAAATCTTGATAGCCATAGTTGCCTTGACAACAAATTGATGTTATTTAACAATTGTTTATTATTGAAACCGTATAAAACTTGTATTAATTAAATCATAAAAAATATTGTTAATTAAATATCTCAAAAATAATGATTGCATGATAAATTTAAATATAAAAATGGCAAAAATAAATTTATGATTGTATTTAAAATAACATTTAATTAATTAAATAGAGTATAATTATATTATAAAAAGTATATAATCAATATAAACTATTTCATACGATGTATATAATAGTTTTCTAAGAATATATTTTTTAAAATTTATATAATCTACATTGATGATTTTAGAAATTATTAGGTACAGTGTTTATATGCTCAGTGTAATTTTGAGAACAATGCATGGGGTTATTTTGTCACATTATAAAAATATCAGTCAATGTCGTATAAAATATCTATTATACTGTATTAAGTAAACATTACATTTGTTAATAGTTATATCATAAGACAATGCAATGTAAATGTAAAATGATCCATTTTAATAACAAATAAATATTAGATAATTAATCCTATTTGAACAGTATATAAATAATTAGACTTTTATATACTGTAGTCATTATTAACAACTTATTAATAGTAACATTATATAAAAAATCTAACTAATTTCAAATTTATAATGAAACTATTAATTGTACTCGCATTATTTGTAATTGCTGCAAATGCTGTACCATTTGCTAAACATTTCACCAAGGCTAGTAAAGGTAAAAATTGGATCTTATTATGCGCTGGTAGTAATGGGTGGTATAATTACGCTGACCAGGTAAATATTTTTAAAACTATAAATAGATATTATCTTATATTATATTTATACCTAGGCAATTGTATACAAAGCGTGGCACTTATTCCGGTCATACGGTATACCCGAAGAAAATATAATTATTTTCCATTACGACGATATCGCTAATAATAAGGCCAACCCTACACCCGGTATAGTCATTAACGACTTCAATGGCACCGATGTCTATAAGGGTGTCCCAAAAGACTACGTCGGCAAAGATGTTACGCCTAAAGTATTTAAAATTTATTAAGCTAGCTATAAATTAATTAATATACTCATACCTAAAGTATGGTATTATATAATTATTTTAAAATTTATTAAGCTAGCTATTAATTAATTAATATACTCATACCTAAAGTATGGTATTATATAATTATTTTAAAATTTATTAAGCTACTATGTGCTAATTATTATGCTATTTACTTCAGAATTTCCTAGGTGCTCTACAGGGTGACCAAGAATTAGCTAACCAAGGTAAAAAGGTTATCAATAGTGGACCTGACGATCATATATTTGCTTATTTTGGCGATCATGGAATGCCTGGTAATTACTGTTTGACCTTTACTAGTTTAAATATGTTAGGTCATTGTACTAAATTATTTATTTATCATAAAATAAAAAAGGTGCTGTTATGTTTGCCACTGGTCAACTATATGCCACAGACTTAAACAAGGCCCTAGTAGATATGCACAGTAAAAATAAATTTGCCAAGCTTGTATTTTATATTGATACTTGCGAATCAGGTAATTATATACAATACTATCAAAACTAAGTGTATAAAGTATATATATAATTAGAAAATTTAAAAATTATTATCAGGATCAATGTTTGATAAACTATTACCGGCTAACATTAACATATACGCTGCCACCTCGTCGACACCAAAAGATCCTAGCTACTTCTGGAAATATGATAAAACCTATAAAACATTCCTAGGTAATAATTATCAAATAATTGTAATATATTTTATTTATAACTTGCTTATACAAATATTTTTTTGAATTAAGGTGCCTGGTTTGCTAGTTACTGGCTAATAAACGACGAGGCAGTTGACCTGGATACTGAAAATTTTGACCAACAATTTAAATTGTTTGCCGATAGGTATAACGTTACTGAACCCACATCACCCGGTATACAACATGCTCAGCGATATGGTGATTTAACCATGGGACCTTTAAAAATTTCTGAATTTTTAGGTTGGTAAATATTTTTAATTATTTATAAAAATTAATTTTAATTTATAATGTTTTCTAGATAATAATAGTTTAAATTTAAATTTAAATTTAAACTACTAGGTCATAAGCCGCATAATTATACAAGTAAAATAAATGTGCATGATAATGAGAAAAATTATGGGGCGGTCATCAAATGGGACGTACCACTGTATATACTACAGAGACGTATCAGTGAGACAAATGATGTGGATGAGAAAAATGAGTAAATTATTTTGTGACAAATATTTTATTAAATATAACAAAATATTTATTTATTATATATTTTTTAGATTAACTAAAGAATTAGAGCTCGCATTGAAAGGTCGCGAATACGTGGATAACGTGTTCAATGAATACGTGAATAGTATTCAACACTTAATGCCAAACATCGCAACCAATGCTATACTCCATACGAAACAAGAGCTCAATAATCATGAATGCTA